TAGAAAACATCATTTTTTTGCCTATATATACTTTTGGTAAGAAAAAAATAGTGAGATATATATATATATATATATATATATATATATATATATATATATATATATATATAATTTTGTCATATAACTTCAAACTTCTATGTTTTTTTTTTGTTTGTTTTTAAAATGGAAATCTATATGATAGACCGACACAAAATACTTGCACTATTGTGAACAACAAGGCGAGAAGGTTCTCAGGTCAGATAAGACCAAACTGAACGGTGAGAGGAAAAAAATGTCACCGAAAAAAATAACATGATCTCTCCATCCTCACTGTAAGGCATGGTGGTGTCTTGAAGAAGTGCTTGAACACGGTTCACTCTTTGGACTTTTAACTGTAAAAATCTTTGAAAACTGTGCACAGTTTCTCCTCCATATTCCAAACATTCACCACTCTGCGCTGGTCCCGGTGAAACAGACTTCTTCATATTTTGTGGTTGAAACGAAGAAAACTCTCTCTGTGTTCTGATTGCTCATCCATACTTTGATTCTTCAGGGAAGCTTGGAGATTTTCACCGGGCTCGGGCTCATTCTGGGGCCTCCTGTGGGCGGCTGGTTCTACCACTCCTTTGGATACGAAGTCCCCTTTTTGCTTCTCGGATGTCTGCTTCTGATCATGGTTCCTTTCAACATTTATGTGTTGCCCTCCATTGGTAGGAGTTTGAATATTCGACACATCATTTTCTGTCATTTTGATGTTTTTCCTTTTTTCTGACATTGAGCTATTTTATTGTTTGTTTGTTTTTTTTATCAGAGGCTGAACCATCCAAAGACTCGTTCTTTAGACTGCTCTTCCATGGAAAAGTCCTGCTGATTTGCTTCGTGATAGGAACGCTAAGTGCAGGGCTGGGGTTCATTGATGCCACCTTGTCGCTGTTTGCCATGAAAACGGTACGTTGCTTACTTCATATAAAGTCAATTTATTGCGTATGCATCATGTTAAAGTTTTACTACTTCTTTCTTTCTCTTTTCTGTTCCTCTCAGTTTAATCTCTCATCTGGCTACGTTGGACTAATAATGATCGGTTTGTCCTTGCCGTATTGTCTGGCGTCCCCTGTGATTGGTTATTTCACAGATAAATATCCTGTGAGTGTTTAAAGCGGTCAAACACGATCAAGAATGCACAGTTAGTTGTAATTTTAACGTGAGTCGTTGCTCACCAGGGAACGAGGATAGGATTCACAGTGACAGGAGGAGTCATCACTGCTGCTTGTTTCTTCCTGCTCGGTCCTGCGCCGTTCTTTCACATCAAGAGGTGACGATTTGTTTCGGGAACGTATCTCCCCCCCCCGTATATTCAACTGAAATCAGCAAGTAAATCCGTCAGAAACACTAGAGCGTTGTCATTGTTGATGAACCAGGTGTAGGGAGGAATTTGAGCTTGTTTCTAAGTTTGACGTTTAAAATATTTAGATGTACTGTGCAGCGTTCGATACACCAATATCGGTGCTTAACGTGACACTTTACTCAAAACATTTTGATCTATTTAAAATGGAAAATGCTAAGTCACAACTCAAAGTTTTTGTCTTTTTATGAATAAAGGACCTATATCTTGGTTTTGAGAAGACGGAGACATTTTTTTTACTCCAAGAAAATGGGGGAATTTATCGAGTCAAAGACCTTTTATTTTAAGAAAAACAAGTGTAAGATCCCTTTCCTGTTCTGGAGCAATTGCAATTATTTGAAGATTCCCTTTCTACAAAAATCGGATTACTTTGTTTTGTTAAAATATTATCTGTAAAATTAGTCCACGAGTACTTCTATATCGACAACTTCGGTCTGTGGCAACAAGGTTGTAACATTACCTGGTTACTTCTTAAAAAAATAAAAAGGTTCAGGAATTTTATCAAAAACAAAATGACTAGAAGTTTCAGTCTTGTTTTCAGACCAACAATCTTGCTTTGTAATGTTGCTACAGTCATTGTCGTTTTTAAGAACAGGCGAGTAAAGGTACGGCTTCTCTTCTTTATGTTGTTTCTTTTTGTATGTAAAGTCAGCTGTGGTTGCTGGTCCTCATGCTCGGCCTGATTGGATTTTCTCTGGGCATGACTGCAATCCCCACATTCCCTGAGATCATCACATGCGCACAGTGAGTCTCTCCTCCGTGTTTGCTCCACACACACATGGTGTGTAGTTGTTTCTTTTTTAATCCTCCACGCTCTTTCATTTGCAGCGAACAAGGGTTTGAAGAGGGACTGAGCACTCTCGGAATGGTGTCTGGTTTGTTTGGTGCGTTTTGGTCCACAGGGTGAGTCCAGAACCAGTTTTTCCGCTGTTGCTTGCATTTGATTGTTTGGGGTTTAAACGTTAATGGGAACATTTGTTCCAAAGGATGTTTTACGGTCCCATAGTGGGCGGCCTTATCACACAGCGCCTGAACTTTGAATGGGCGGCGACAGTCCAGGGTGCCATGGGACTCTTAGCTGTAAGTATTAGTCGTCATCTTAAAGGATTATTAATGAGTGATCATTTTGTTCTACTGTAAATTAGACTGAAAAAAACGACAAACTATTAATACCGTTAGTGATGTTCCTCTCTGTTGTCAGGCCTTACTTCTCCTGGCTTACTCTCTCTGTAAGAGAAATCGACAAAGGTAATCATGAATCCGAAACTAGTCGTAATTTTCTAAGTTATTGAGCTGGAACTGATGCGTTTTCACTCATTTCTGTTTGAATTTTAGGCTGCGAGAAGATGATCAACAATCGGATGAAAACGCTCCTCTCCTGAACGGATGAATCCCTCTGCCAGACATTAAAGGGAAAAGCAGTGATTCTTCTCGACACGAGGGAAAGCTTTTGTTGCGTTCTTCTTGCAGGAGAATTGTAATGTTGGTGTTAGCGGTCTTAGCATTCTGCAGCACATGACTTGGATTTCATGCTGAGCTAAAGCTCATCAGGATCTATTAACACATTCCTGGGAATATTGAAGAAAATTGTATTTCTTCAATATTACCATTGTATTTGAGAGAATTGTATTTGAAATGTTTTGTACAGGTCATACCTGTTCTTAATGGGCGAATGTAATGTAACGTGCAATAAAACCGATCTGACAATGTTTGTTGTGATGCCTTCTTTCACTTTCCTGGTTATTTATTAAATTTAGTCTGAACTATTGTGCAAATGAGCCTGAGGTTTTATTAGAAAACGATTGCTTTATAAAAGTGATTACAGCATTGCATGTTTTTCCATAGTGTCTGAACGTCACCCTTTAAAGTCATGTATTTAAATCTTTACAATGAAATAACATTTTAAGTTATTCAGTATTTATATATATAAAGCAGCAAGGAAAATGGCATTTGTAAATGTATACAAAAGAAACAAAAATACAAATTAATTCTGAACAATGTACATAAATATACTTTAAAAATACAAACAGTAAAAAAAAAAAAAAAAGCCAGACTGGTGTTTTCAACGAGTTCATTAATCGGGCTCAAAGGCACGGTTGGACTGGCCTGTCGGCCTCTTTGGTAGCGGTCTGGCAGGCGTCCTGGCCTCCCTCGCTGAACCCGACGCTTCTGCCTCTGAGAAACCGGTCTGAGTCGCGGCTGCTCCCGGCTTTTTCACCTTCCTCCTCCTTCTAGTTCTGAAAGGAAACACTCAGACTTTACTCCCTTTTGTTGTTCCACAGTGTATCCGCCAAAAATGAGCACCGCTTGTAGAAGCGGTGCTGCGGCGTGTTCAGAAACCAAGCCTGGTGAGTTTAGGAGGATTTAAGCAAAGCACGCCTCTTACGTGGCATCGGTCAGCTCGGGGTCAGTGTCCGAAAAAGTTGGCTCAGAGAGAAACCGAAGTTCCCCAGAAGAATTGACAGCAGCAGACACCTTGAAATGCGAGTTTGGAAAAGTTAAAAAAATAATTAAGAGGGACAGGAAAAGATACCAAAACACCAGTCAGTTACCACAAGAAACCCAACAGACATACCTCCATCATGCAGTTTTACAAAGCAAAAAACCCATGCAGCTATCCATATTTATTACAGGAGTAAGCTAATAAATGCAAACAAGATTTCTTAAACGACTTAGTATATATCTAGGCTGCAATAAGTTTGCAGGAAGCTGTAAAATGATTGTTGCACCATATCAGTTCACTGCTTTAAGCAACTGATAAGATTTATAGGCAGAAATACACAGCAAGGCTCAAACGTCTCAGTAGACGGTGAAAATTTAGGACAGTAAAACAAAGTTAAATTATCATGGAGTGAATGAAGAGAAAGAGAAACGCAGCCTGTTCTTAAAATACTCTCAGATTCTTAGGATTGTTGACATTTAATAATCTTAGTGGGAGACAAAACATCAAGTGGGAGTGTACGTTTACCATCTGAATGTGTGGGATTTTTAAAAATTTTGTCTTTAGGCCTACACTAATACAGTAGAGAAAAGAAAACATCTATAACATAAGTCAACAAAATCTCTTCTTAAGACAAAAAACCCTCTATTCGGCTCATTTTATTAACCTGGCCTCTTACCCGTGTGGGAGTGGGCACCTCCACGTTCTTTCCCAGTGAAGTTGGGTCTCTCTCTGCAGAGTCCTCACTAAACTCACCTACAACAACAACAACAAAAACTTTTTTTTTCTAACAAAACCTTCAAACTCCATCACGTTATACTTCTGTACCCCCAAAACATGTCGGCCTCTTACTCTGATCGATTACGTAAGAAGCAAGAAAATATCCCTGCAGCCCGTTGACCAGGCGTCCAAACCACCAGGTGTCGTTGTCTTTGTACAGTACTTGGATGACGTCGCCGCGCCGGATGGTCAGTTCATCAGATCGATTCGCTTCGTAGTTATAGATGGAAACGACCTGAGAAACGGATCCCGATGATGAAATGAGTTATAGCACAGAAACAGATGGCAGCGAGTTCAGTGTCACTGAAAACTTACTATTTGTTGAACTGAGACAGAATCTGGATCATAGAAACCTGAAGAGGTTTGGTCGGGGAGAGACTATGGTAGAGAGAAAAGAAAAACATTACATTAAACCTGTGACTAAATTACATTTTTTTTGCTGACAGCTCTTGACCAAAAAGAAAGTAATAACCTCAGAAAGTCTTACTGTATGCAGTTTAAGAGACGAGGCTCCTTTTATCCTCTGACTGATGCCTCCTGGAAATACAAGAAAGTGATTTTGGAACGTGACGCAACTCAATAACTTGTTTACGCTCCTTTTACTCAGAGTGTTGAGATCAACCAAGATCAACCAGAACCATTAGGACTGCAAATCTGGGAAACCTCATTTCAGCTGTAAATGAGGCTCATACTGGTCAGATTTTTCTCTGATGTTCTGTAATTCATACCAACTACAGGCATCACTTTGGACAACCAGCATATGTGCGATTTGGAGGTGTGTTGCTCTGTATTCTGTTGGGGAATCCAGAGCAAACCGATCTCTGTGTGGACAGGCTTTGATCGCAGTGTTGTACTTATTGCTCTGAGGACAGCAGGATATTCAATCCAAATGCTTAGTGTTGACGAGATTAGGTTGTGACTTTGGCTTGAGGCCAGAATATCTAGTCAGCCTACAAATTCTCCTGAGGGCCGGCCAGATTAAAAAAAAAAAAAATTTATATTGTTGCTTCTTGGTGCAACCAGAAATGCAGATATTGACAGATTGAAGCTATGAAAGTTTAGTGCAAGCTCAAAACTGTCAGGGAACTCATTACTCCCAACAGGAATAACATGCAGTCATGGAGATTTCTCCAAGACCCTGCAGACAACCAAGTTCTTCCTGTTTTTTTTTTTTTTTTAAAGTCACAGTAATGCCTGAGTCCTTAGTGAAAGGGCTCTTACTTGTGAGCTAAAGCATAACGATTAATGCTGCCTTTGATGACCAAACCGGCTGGTGAACTGAACAAGACACTCACGGCTTTTTGTGCTCAGGACTGCTTGGGGTATTAGCTGCTCCGCCAAGGAACCAGAGAGCTGCAGCTTGGAGTGGGGCGACAGCAGAGACGGAGGAGGTAGTGATGCATTTAATCCCTTCTGGAGGGGGAAGAAAAAGGTGGTGTTGATTTGCGAAGCACAGAAATGTATTTCACAAAGCAGCTATTTACCTTGATGTGCAACAAGTACAGCTCAAAGAAATGTGAATGTCTTAAAAACATCTATGTTGCTGTTTCTCATCTCAAAAAGTAAAACTTATATGGATTTATTACACACAGTGAAACATTTCAAGCCTTTAATTTGATGATCATTAATTAAAGAGTTTTTTGAGGCACACTGATACAAAACTCACTGTGCCAACGTCAGACATGAAGTTCCTGCCTGCGTGAGTCGTGCCCATTTTGTCTGCAAAGATAGTCAAACGATACATATATTCTACATGTAAATTTTAAATAAAATCATATATGATGCTATTAATTCAGGTATTTGCTATGTATAAAGTTATTTTCATATTTACAACCTTGATCCAAACTGAGCCCAACGGCTGCTGTCCTTCGATATGGTTCCTACATACGGCATGAAAACGGGAGACGTTACCGACACGGTTATAATAGCGAGCAGTGATCAGTATCTAGAATGTCTAAACATTTTGAATCAGATCTCTGTTAGAAAAGACAATTTCTTACAAGAACTGAATCCAGATGCTCTTTAACACTCTGCATTTTCAGGTCTAATCTGGCCAACTGGCCAAACTGGTCCATGGTGGAAGGAGTCGGTGTGTCCTGCAGCACCACGGAGTCGGGAAGGTTTTGGACGGGTTTGGTGTCTAGAGACGCCGATCTGCTCAGTTCCAGATTGTTGTGCATCTCCAGCTGGGACACTGTAAGACGGGGTCGACGCAACGAATGGCAATTATTCATCTGAGCTCAACAGAGCAGCTGATTGCAACTATTCACAGTGTCCTTTTCAACTCTCTGCACGCTTTGTCACTTTACAACCACAAATGGCAATGCATTTTTATTATTTGATGCAATTAATCAAATACAATGACAACCAATTGCCTGTAGAAATCAGCTGGTTAGTAAATAGTGTCCATCTTTGTTTTGATCACAGTATAAACAGACGTTTTGCGAAGCCCTTCCACCCCTAAGCTTTCCTCAAATTAAACAAAACTGGTGTCAAATGTTTGTGCAGCAAAACTTTTCGTTTGTGCCGCTATTATTTAAAAAAATATTATAAGTGTTTCCAGAGGTCATTAAAGGTCAAGCAGCCAGGCCACATTTACAATATCAAAGGAAATATGGTGTCAATCAACTAATCTGCCTGAGCTGGAGCTATTTACTAAAGAGCAAACATTTCAGTTTCTAAATGACTTGACTTGTGAATTCAGCGTAATGTCCTTGCAGCTCTGACTTTAGAGGGTTGAAAACAAATGCAGCCACACTTTTCAGATTTTCATTTGTAAAACATTTTAGCTTTGGCCACAACGTGTATCCTTTTTCTTCCACTTCGCAATTATTCACTACCATATGTTGATCAAATGCACTGCAGCAAAAGGTTCAAGGTTTCCCCCAGAAAACTCGCTAAGCCCGGTGGTTGGGTCATTCGTCCAGCGGCTCGCTGTGTTTTTGAGTTAAAAAATGTTTACCGTTGACAGGAAATTTAAAAATATCACTTGATAATTTTGTGCTATTGAAAGATTGGGAGAATAATACCTGAACACCAACTATAAAGTCTTAAAAAATGCAAACATTTTAAAAAGACTTAAATAAGCAATGCGTAGCCTGGTGGGGGCACAAGTAAAGTCTGGTGGCCCGCCAGGCTTATAATACACTGGGGGGAAACCCTGAGCTTGTAATATGTCAAAATGTTTATGGACCGTGTGGAAATAAAATCAAATCCAGTTTGCAGATTATTTTGTCCATGACACAAACACGAACCTTTGTGGTCGTACACGTACACGTGCACTGGCTGGCTCTGACCAAACGCACAGAAAGCCACCATGTTCTCATGCGGATGGAAGGAGACGCCATGGACAGCACTGCGGTAACAAAGCTCTGTGTACACTGCGACCTGGTCTCCTGGGAACGCAGTACATTGATCAGAGAAACAATGCAGAGTATGTGCAATGAGTTTAGGGTTTTGTTTTTACCAGGGATTGTCACCTGTGTCGGTATTCCAGACATATCCTATCCCATCCTCACTACCAGAGAAGATGAAATTTCCACATGGAGTGAAAGTGCTATAAATTCTCTCTCTGTAGTTTGTTGCACCGGTGTACTTCTTTATAGCCAAGCTTAAATTTAAAAAGAAAAAAAAAAAGCCAGAAAATTATTCAAAAAGTAAAATAAATACCCTAAATAAGAAATGACCGCACGTCTTCTGTTATCTCAGATGGTCTTCGGTTACTTACATCCTCAAATCCATCATCCTGAGAACGCTGTCTTTGGCGTGGATGAGCAGGCACCGCCCATTCGGGTGGAGCTGCAGCATGTTGATGGGGATGCCCCTGAGGTCGCTCTCGTCAATTTTCTGCCAAGAGCCAAACAGAACACAAAACCTTTGTTCCTGTGTGAACAATCGCTTAAACCTCGATTCAACGAATCTACGCCATGTTGCATCATCTTTTACGATAACATCGGTTTCCAATACCATCTCTATCGACCATTGCTGGCATGGATTTTGGCGTTGTTTGCTGGGATTTACTGAGGTTTTCCACACATTAATGATGCCTGCGTTGTCGGCAGAGAACATTCTTCTTCCTGTTTAAATGTTTAAAAAGAGATTGTCATAAACGGAATCAAGATCACTAACGCCCTCACCTGGTGAAGATGTGCTAAAACATTTAAACAAATGCACATTTTTAGTGCAGTAAAACAATTTGTCACTGAACACTGGAGAAAAGTTCAAAATTTATGTTTGACATGTTTGACTAACATACCTCTTACATCTTGCACTATAAAATTTTCTTTGTTTCATTTCCTCTACAGTTTAATTATATGTACTTAATGTCTGTACGATGTGAGCTCTTGAAATTGAAGTCAACATTATTTCTTGGACACACAAGTTTGTCTTTTAAAGCTAATCTCTGATTCTGAAAGTGTTCAAGGTTTCCAAAAGGATGTAAAAAAGATGAATAAAAAAATGTTACTTTTCCTTTTAGAGTCATTCTTTTGGGGAAATGCAAAACAATCATTAGACATTGACTAAATGTAGAGCTGTTATTTGGGAGCAACAATCATAATAGGTAGGTTCAGACTAAAAGAAAATCAATAATTTACTGACATCATTGATTAGGATTTAGACATGTTTCCTCGATTCTTTTCTTGCTTCACCCTCACACTATGCTGCCACCTCCACGCTTTAGCATCTCACATCAAATGTCCAAGTGACCAAGTAAATTATCAATATGAATATACGGCGCTTGATATAACATTCCAACAAATTTTGCATCCAAGCAGGCCTTAGCGGTTGCTTTATTGCACACAATGATGCTGTGATTGTGAATGTAGTTCTGTATTTTTTGCAGCTAATGAACATGGCATCAAGAGGTCAAAGTTCAAGGGAACTTTAGCAATAAGCATTAAGTCTTACAGCAGGATAATCGTCCAAATCATAGGGCTAATCTACAAACATCTACAACTAAACATATTTAACTAAAAGTTTGGGTTTCTCCACGTTTTTCCAGTGTCAAATTATTCTACTGCAATAAGAGAAAGAGCTCATTTTTCCACATCTTTACCAAGGGAGCCAAAATGTCTCTCTGTTTGAGTCATTGGTGGGTTCAGCGGTACCTTCGAAATCGAAACACACTGAGTTGACGAAGCTTTTGTGAGTTTCGAACTCCTGCAGCATCTGGCCGTTCACGTCGTCCACATCGAGCCTCCAGACTCTTATCAGGAAGTCGTAGCTCCCGGTCACCACCAGATTCTGGGCGCCCGGGTGGTACTGAGCGCAGTAGACGAAGGACGGGTGAGGCAGCACCTTCTGAGCGTTTTCCAAAAGCTTTTCCACGTTCCACTCTCTGAGAAAGAAGAGGACGCAGTGGCAGCCGTGTTTCCCGTTCGTCGCTTTTAGCGACTTCATTTACGTCCGAAATATGAAACCTACCTGACGGTTCCGTCCGAGGAGGCAGACAGCAGGACCCTGTCATCGCTGGACCAGCAGAGATCATACACAATTTTCAGATGACCGTTGAAAGCAGCCAGCACTGTCCCAGAAGGAATCTCATACACTGGAAAGAAGAAATAAAGAAAATGTCTTCTTTTACAGTCTGACGAGACTTGATTTTTGTATTTTTTTCACAGATCTGCAAAAAAACCAAGTTAGCTGGCTTGAGGAAACTAAAACCAGCAGCTGTGTAGAAATGAGGCGCTGCTTACCAACAACAGGGAAAGCATCTCTGTCAGCGCAAGCAGCGGCCAGCCTGGTTCCAGCGTGAGAAAACAGGACGGTGAAACAGCCCATCTTACCGCCACGGAAAGCTAAACCGTGCTTGTTGGGAATCCGACAGATCTACCACAGAGAATATTTACAAGGTTTTAACTTTGACTCTTGAAAGTCAGATAATCTAAAAATACTTCCAATGGTTTTTGGCCAGAGCCTTACAAAAGCATTCACAACAACCTTCAATGTAATCTCTTATCATACATATAACAGTGTGAATTTGTCAAGTGGAAGGAGAAAGATAGACGACAACTGACCCTGGAATTTCATGAATTATATCCCTGTTTTTTTAATAAATGAGCTCTTTTTTACATTTTGGATCAAGCATAAATTAGAGATCTGTTTTCTATAAACATCAGAATACCTCATTTCTTGCAGAAAAATAATACATGTTTAGTTTATTGCTGAGCATGTGCAAGTAAAACAAACAAAAAAGAAGAAAAACATAATGTTTTTTGTTTTTTTGTTTGTTTAAAATGTTACATTTTGTAGCCTGTGGGAAATTTCAGTTTAACATTTCTGGTCCTTTGCGTCAAAAGGTTTGGACATCACTGCCAGAAGACGTCCGATTTGCAGTTTGCCACAATCCAAAGCAAATATGTGGAAGAAGATGCTGCGATCAAAATGAGACAAAAATCTAACATTTTTTCCTGTGTGGTGAAAAAAGTAACATTGTGTATCAACCTCCTCTGCACAACATCTCCATGGTGAAACACGGTGACGGCAGCATAGGTGCCTTTGATGTGCTGTAAATAGTCATTTGTATGAAATGTTTGAAAAAAACGACAAAACAACAAATATGATTTTCTTCTCCTTTTGAATTACGAGGCCGCTCTACGCTGGTCTATCTAATAAAACTTAACTAAACCCCATTGAAGGCGGTGGATGTAACAAGACCAGATCGGAAAAAAAATGTAGTTTTTCAGCAAGATGCTAATAACCAGCGCAGATTTTACATAACGGGTCATGTCAAGGAAGTTCACGGAGATACGTTTGTCGTATCTTAAGGCAAACTTTAGAAAGCTTTTTTTCTGTTTTCCATTACAATGACAAATGTTAGCATGCGGCTACCTGCCCGGGCAGTCGGTTCCACCTCAGGACGGGCTGCCTGCTAAGACTGGGTTCTGTCTTGCTGCCGTCATTTTGCAGGTCACTATAGGAGGTGCTGCCCCTCTCCTCCTGTAAGGCCATCATAGAGCGCATGCCGGGGTCCACCTAACGAACAAAAAACAACAAAACTTAGCTCAAATAAGCATCAAACACTCCAACTTAATGAAATGTAAAAACAAAGAGCCAAAAGTTATGGAGGTAATTTTTTTGAACACTTACACACTCTGGAGGTTTAATCCCTTTCACAGTGACGTAGAGTGTGGATGCATATTTGGTTCTTGGGTACTTCCTCCACCACTCAAACACCTCTATTGTTTTCGACTGCCTCTTCGCCCGAGGTGGAGGACAGAAGAGCTGAAGGCGAAGTTTGCTCTCAATATTCAGAATCCCATTTGCACCAATAAGCTGGAAGGGTCAGAGGGAAATCAAAAGACATCTCCATCAATGCCAATGTCAAAACGACTAATGTCAACTTTTTAGATCCGAACATTTCACCTTAAGAAATGCCCACGCAATCTTTCGAAAGCCTCGCTCGTGCTTCTCTGCATCAAAGTTGGCTTTCGCCTCCTCCATAGTCATGAAGTCCAGGATCTTGAAAAGAAAAAGAAAAACATTAACTAGCACAAAATAATGTCAAAAAAAATTACAGCAGAAAAGGTAATTATCTCTTACTTCAAAGAAAAGTATAACTCTGGGGGCTGATTCGATTTGCTGAACGAAGTAACCGAAGCGTTCATTGAATATGATCTGCTCCTGCCACTCGGGGATGATGGATTTGTTCTTCCTGAAGTCAAATGGCTGTGTAATGATCGGCAGAATGTGGCTGACATTCTCTTGTTCGTAAAATGAAGAGACGGGCCGCTGACTTTAAGAACGAAAGGACAAGTATAAATTACACAGATGCAGGAAAACGTGAGATAAATTCAACACTAAATGGAACTGAAGTTCAGTTCGCTCTCACCAGTCCTCTTTCCTCACATACTTCCCGGTGAGTTCATCAACAATGTGGATCTTCACCATGGGGTGCGAGATCAGCAAGTCCGTCTTGAGGCGATCGGTTCTGTGGACGAACACTCCCAGTACGAGACTGTCGTCAAACATCTGCTTATCCCGTTCTTCAGTCTCGGCCTCGATCTCCTCTTTGACGACTGAAAAACGGGAAAAGACGAAACAGAAGCTCCATCAGAACCAACATATTTCATGTTTGATTAGCATTAAGTGGCTACACACAATCAAACCTGACTCACCATGCTTTTTTTTCTTCTTCTTCTTCTTTCCCTTCGATTCCGTTTCATTTTCAGCGCCAACTTCTCGTTCTACGTCCTCGTCTTGATCTCTAATGGCGAAAATGACTGATTTCAAAATGATGCCTAAACTGTGATTATTTTCTCTTTTAGATCTAAACAAAAGAATTAACATTGTAAAAATACACACCCTCCATCTGAATCAGTGGTGACAGATTTCAGTTTCTTCTTTTTCTTTTTCCCCATGTTGTTGTTCAGACTAACGTTCTGCCAAACGATGCTGCCGTCCTCATCTTTGATCTTCGTTTTCTTCATGGTCCTCTCTTCTTCCTGTGCTATCTGCAGCTGGTATTCATGCAGCAGCTCATCTTCTCGATCCTCCACCTGGCTCTCCGTCGTAACCTTTGCGCCGTCTTTGCTTTTTCCTTTCTTGCTCCTCCGTTTCGGTCCCTTTCCACCGCCAGTGTCTTCTTGAGCTACAGCAAGTTCAGAGTCCGTATCCCTTTGAATGTCACTGGTGTTGTCCTTAAGTGCAGGTAGGGGAGGAAGGTCCCTCTTGCTTTTCTTCTTTGCTTTAGATGTTTTGTTGTAATGTGGGCTGTCCTCTTCAGGATTGCACGTGTTTTGCAGAACTGTCTCATCTTCTTCTGTGTCATTTTCAAGGTTTTGTTTTTTTCTCAGATTCTGAAGCTAAGAAGACAGAAAGAGAGGAAAAACATGACTGTAGTCATAGTTGTCCTTAAATAAGAATTATGTTTCTTAAACTGCTTTGCCAGAAAGAGGATAAACTACTTATGTGTCTTCTTTTACAAGGTGACGTGCTGATCCTAACCACTGGAATGAAAAACAAGATGCAACAAAACACGTACCACAATAGTTTCCTTTGCTTCAGCTGCTTCAGTGTTTTTCTTCTTTGACTTCTTTTCCGATTCCGTATATTTCTTGAAAATTTCATTAAATCTTTCCCGGGTCTTTGCTCGCTCTTCACTCGCACCTAGAAACGTTTACATTATCATTAAAAGGGTGTTATTTCCTAGTGAGACGGTTTAGGTTTAAGTCAAATCACTTAAACCTAAATAATAATGGGTAACAACTCAACTAAAATACTTTGCATGCCTATCCCCAATTCTAACTTTACCTCAGTTTTACTTTTTGTTAGGGAAACATTTAAATGCAAAACATTGTTTATTTTTCAAAATTAAAACAACTCACCTACTGGCATTCTTCCACACTGTGTTGTTTCTCATTCTTAGTAAAAAAAGAAAAATAGTCATAAAAGAAAATCTTATTTTACAAAAATGCTAACAATGATGTGTACATTTTTGCACTCCAAAGTAAACACAGGGGAAAGTAGCTTACGTTTTATTCAGTATGTTAAGCTGAAGTAAACTAAACAAAATAAAAAAGTACACCAGGTTAAGGTTAGCTAAAAAAGCAGCTAGTTTGACAAGAGCTAACTCGCTAACTCGCGCTGCCAAAGTGACACACAAATATTTATGGTCTATAAGAAAACTTTGAGGCTTAAAAAATACTAAGCTCTACATAATTTCATTTAAAAACGGCGTGTGAGTTAGCTACACCAGTAGCGATATGTGTATCAGTGCGCACAAGGTACTCCGACTTCACCGACGACGCTGTAATGGTTTCCAAGTCAACAAGGTTGAACGTGAGGGCGGAGTGAGCGAATAAACAAGAAAGAAAAGGCCAATGATGTGTAAGGACACAAACGACGTCATTACGTATTGAGTGTAACACTGAAAAGTGGTCGTGTGCATAGATCGTTCTTGGTTCCGTCACTGCTAAATCTGCCGCCACCAGCTCCAGTAATTGTTGGGTTCATAAATTCCACGCTTGAACAACTAAACCTAGTCGGAGCAGCTAAACTACAATGAAAACTCGCCAAATTATATTTAATGCAACCGGAACACTGACTGTTATCATTTGTGGATACGCCATGTAGAAAATCCGTCTTTCCAGTAAGGGGTTCCTGTTATCGCGGTGTTGAGAAGGTTATTTTCAAAAATATTATTTTAAAGTTTATTGCAGTTACTTAAATTAAAATCAAACTGGAATTAAATTGAGCATAAGAATGTAAAACAAAAGTCATTAAACTAAAAAAAACAACAACAAAAAAAAACAGCCATGCTGAGAATGAAAATCAATGAGAAGGAAAAAAATTGGTCTTGGCCAGTTCAAATAAATAACATCACATAAGTGATTGAAGCCAATACAATTCTGACATATATAAAATAAAACCTTGCATGTTATTCGGGTTTAACATGTTATTGCAAGAAAATATACACTCTAAAAAAAGATGTGTTAACAAAGAACACAAAAATGTTATTAAATTAAAAGCATATTGTGTGTTAATTTTACCCATTGTGTGTTAAAATGAATATAATAATATGATACACAGTATGTGTTGAATATTTATTTGAATATTTCAACACATAATTGTGTTAGTTTGTTTTTGTCAGGTACACAAAAATGAATGGCAGATTCATCTGCCATTCAGATGGTTTATTTTTAACATTTCTTTTAAATTTATTTTTAAACTGTGGTTGTTAATTTAGTATTGTGATGATATTTAATAATTTTTAAAATGATGCAGAGGTATTTTTGGGGGGGAGTAAATCAACACATAATGATTGATTTTCACTTTTCATTAAATTACTACTATTCTTACATAATTTTAATACATGGTTATTTATTGTTTGCTAACAAAATATTCAGACAATTTTTTAATATTTACAATAAATAACAATTATTACATATATTAATTAGAAAATATTCTAATATTTCTAATATTTGAGCAAAGAAAGTTGATCAAAACATCAAAGAACAACCTCAAGTGGCCACCAGATGAAGTATTACGTTTGGATTTTTTCCCCCCCGCACGGACTATATTGTTTAAACACAATATAGTATAGAATTTGGGAACTCAATGGTTGGAAAAAACTTTATTTTTTGTGCCACTACAGGGTCTGCAACGTTGTACCGTTAATTATCTCACTGTGGTACGTGAGATGGGGTCACCATTTTATAATTTGTTACAGTTGTCTTTTTTTGTCCAAAGTTTACTGAAGAGGGTAAAAACTAAGGGTACTACTTTGTGTCAAGTTTTAATTAATCGAGTTTGATGGATTAAAATGCCAGGCCCACAAACATCTGTTTAATTGCGTCATAAAATCCTTATCGTATAATCTGCGTCATAAAATGCTTATCGTATAAAAACATATGTTTTGATTTAAATTCATTTCTTATCAATAATAAAACAGGCAGCATTCTGGAACATTCTCTCTTGCATCATATAAAATTAAGTTCTTATAATAAAACAGGAAGCATTCTGGAACATTCTCTCTCTTGCATCATATAAGTTCTTATCAAAAATAAAACAGACAGGATTCTGTCTCACCCCTTTGTGAGGGCCTCACCCCCTCACAAAGGGGTGAGGCCCTCTTTGTGACTTTTGACCCAGTTATACCAATGCAAATTTTCTGATGCAACTCCTCCTCACGCAGATAGACTCCACCCCCAACTGCTTTTATCTTCCTGCTCCTGGCAGATGCCCCAGCCCACTTTTATGAGCTTCTGTTTGAATCAGCCAATAGAGATAAAGGGGTGGGATTTCTGTTTTTCTGCTTTAAATAATTTTCGGAGGCCCCGTATTCAACAAGTTGCACTTGGTAGAGGAAGATCCACTTTCCACTGACAGAAAACAAACAAACAAACAAAAAGATGGTTCACATTAAAAGAGAAAAGCCTCAAAAGAGAAGACAGCAAGAAGCTAATCAACTAGCATGTAGCTCATCTGCTCCAACCTCACAGACTACAGATGGACAAACCATCACGAGAGTTTGAAACAGGAGGTAACGCTCAGCCGCTCCCTCCTGTTTCAAACTCTTCTTATGAGTTATAGAGCCTAAAACCCTAACCCCCCGACATTTACGCCTATGGCTCTTTCAATGACAGAAGACTAGAGCTCAAGTAGCTTGAATGCGCTCTCGAAGCGCGCCGGTGTCAGTTCTCGCGAGGCTAGTGATTTAATTCCGCTTGGAGAGGCACAGAAATTATTTTAAATTATTATATCATAATGCGGGAACTTTACTTAACAATACTAATACGGGAGCGCGGCGGGAAAAATACGTTAGTTTCCTTGCCAAAACTTGGTCGGGACACTAACAGGAAACTTGACAAGGTATATGCCCTATGACGTCACTAACAGGGCGTAACTGAATGACACATCAAAGGCTTTGATACCTTTTGAGTTACTGTCTCCTTCAATGACTCTTCACAAACAAAAGTTCTAAGAGTTCTTACAGTCAAAAGCGTAGAATTGTGTTTTGCAGACTTTTAAAGAACAAATGGATATAAAAAGGATATTTCTTAATATTCCCAAAGTTTCTGATTCTATGGAGAAAGTACTTGAAAGACAACAGCTGTTTGCAACAAATGTAGTGCTTAAGCTGCTGATCGAAAGCGGGTCTTTAAAAGATTTAGGTCAGCTCAGCACAGAGAAAATCACTCGCATCAACAAAATCAGAGACAGGGTGACAGATGGCATCACAATCCCAAGGAAATTTGCTGCCACATCAAGAAAGCAAAAACGTATGTGCAGGAATGTTCTTGTTGAGCTGAAAAATGCACACAGTAGCTCAGAACTAGGACATTTGTTGACAACAAAGGACGAAGATCTCATTGCCAAGATGATTGAGCTGTTGCGAGAAGAAATGAAAAAGGCCTTTAAAGATTATGAGAACAGCCCTCTCAGAAAGCTGTGTACAGCAGAAGTTGTAGGATATGCTATTGCATTATCTGTCGTAGTTGTTGTAGGATTGATAACAATGCTGTAACACTGGTTAGTTTGAGTTTCGATCCAGTCTCACCTCGATCCAGCCTCACCTCAACGCACCAGGGAAACTTGGAAATCAGATGAAGCTGATTTATTTTACAAATGTCAAAAATGACATTAAATTAGGATCTTGATTACTGGTCAGCGAACCAGGCTGCTGGGACACTAGCGAGAGATGAAAGCAGAGGTGAGATATGTACCACCTCTGCAGTCAGTGAGAATTTGATGACTGACTAGCTTACTGGATAGGAGGAGAAGAATCCTTCTATCCAGTAAGCTGGGGTTAGGTTCGTTCTGGGGAGGGAGCCGAGAGCTGACAGATGGTTTTGATTTGCGTTAGAAGGCGGACAGACTCACGAGCAGTGGATGAAGAGGAGCATTTGTTGCCAGCAATGGATGAAGAAAACCAGAAGATCCTTCAGAGAGGGTTTGCTTGAGGACATTGGGTTCTTGAGCAACATTTGGGCTTCGTCTGCTATCGATTAGCCACAAGCATTTTGCTGTTTTGTACTAAAAGTCAAATTGTAATTTCATTTTATAGTTTCAATGTTAAAAGAAGCGGGCTGCACAGTGGCGCAGTAGGTAGTACTGTTGCTTTGCAGCAAGACCCCGGCCGGGGTCTTGCTGCACGGAGTTTGCATGTTCTCCCTGTGCATGCGTGGGTTCTCTCCGGGTACTCCGGCTTCCTCCTACAGTCCAAAAACATGACTGTCAAGTTAATTGACCTCTCCAAATTCTCCCTAGGTGTGTGTGTGCATGGTTGTTTGTCCTTTCTGTCTCTGTGTTGCCCTGCGACAGACTGGCGACCTGTCCAGGGTGAACCCCACCTCTCGCCTGGAACATTAGCTCGAGATAGCTACCAGCAGCCCTCCTGACCCCACAAGCGACAAGGGTGTACAGAGAGGATGGATGGTTTTTGTTCTGTTTGTGTTATTGTCAGAATGTGTAATAAATATGTATTTTGTTCAACACAGTGTTTCCCTTGCTCCTCCTTAGTTGAACCTTGTTCTGATATGCTATTTCATTATAAAGATTCATTGATCCCCTTGTCACAGGCGACTTACCAGATTAGTAGATTTTACAGTATTTAATATAGAATATGAATAATTTTATGTCGAACAAATAAGTAGCAATAATAATAATAATAGAGTACAACTGCCACTGATTTGGTGCCAGATGCCATGGCTTCTGTGTCAGATTGAATATCACAGTAAAAAAAAAAAAATCCGTAAAAAAACAGGGAAATGTCCTGGTAATATTCTGCCAGTACATTTTTTTTTGTTTTGTTTTTTGTTTTTTTTACAGAATTTCCGGCAGAATTTTTTTCCATAATTTAACAGTTTTCATATGTTAAATTTTAAACACAGAAAACTGTTAAATTATGGGAAAAAAAAAACTATTAAATTGCAGAAAAATTTTGCTGGAAATTCCGTAAAAAATGTACTGGCAGAAAATTACCAGGACATTTCCCTGTTTTTTTACGGAAAAAATTTGAAATAAAATACTGTTAAATTACGGGAAACTTCTGACGGAAATTCTGTTAAAAAGACAAAAAATATCCTGGCAGAAAGTTGCGCAAGCCAGTGCCATAACTTGAGAGAAAATGCTAATAAAGGCTCATATTATTGCACCGCCTATGGCGGTGCACTAACTCCAGGGAAAAAGATTATTAAACCTAATGTAATTGCACCTGTGGCAGTGCACTTACCGGAGGGGATTAATGAGGCTTTTATTTTGAAACTTTCAGTAAGCTTCATTTGAAATGGCAACACTAATCCCATGTGTAACAGTCTAATGCAAAAACGAGCCATTACATGATATAAAAATTGTCAAAGCTTTTATTTTGAAATTTTTCATAAGCTTCATTTGAAACGGCCACACTACACATGTGTAATAGTGATTGGGTTAAGTCAGTTATATAATGCTAAAAGCACAAGTAGTTCAGAATACCAGCCAACTCCTCCTCAACAGACAGTTCCACCATGTTGTAGTTGTAGTTCTGCCTCTGTTTTAACTGAGTCTTGGCCATAGATAGAACTAGTTATGGCAGTCGGCTGCTGGTTTGTGGTCCAAACCAGCAGCTCTGCATTTCTCTGTATTCTGTTGCTATAGCGATGAATCCTCAGCCGACTGCTGTGTGTGTGAGACAGAAAGGTGGGGAAGGATTTCTATCTTTATGAGTCATCCAGGAAATGCTATTGTTGGTGCTAATGTCCTATCCTTAGATAAAAGTCTGTCTTAGAATAAAGTAGTTCAGTTCACTATCCTGAGAATAAAGGATAATAATAGCTATTATTGCACTGCCTATGGCGGTGAACTAACCTCAGAGGAATATTATGGCTTTTATTTTGAAACTTTCAGTAAGCTGCATTTTAAATGGCCACACTAATCCAATGTGTAACAGTGTTTTTTAAACCAGTCACATAGAGCCCAAAAGAGCAATTACCTGATGTTAAAAATGTGAAGGCTTTTATTTTCTGCCATGTCTGTAAAATAAAAGCTTATTATCTATTTATAGATGATAAATATCAATCAATCAATCAAATTTTATTTGTATAGCACATTTCAGCAGCAAGGCATTTCAAAGTGCTTTACATAATTAAAATGCAAACAGCATGTGACATAGGATAAACAGTGAGAAAAAGAGATTTTGAAAAAGATTTTAAAAAAAGATAAAAACATTAAAACCCGCACCCCTTTTAGGACTTCAGTTAAAGGTCGTTTAACTGATTTTATTTAACGGCGTATTTCTAAATTAATTGAAATATTAAGATGGGCTGTTCACGGACGTCCTTAAATTGAACTGCGGTAAAACTCCGGTAGCGAAAAAAACAACAACAACGTAGAAGTAATTGGAACGTTACTTTCTAACTAATCATAACTTCCATGGTAACGTTCCATAAAAAGTGTTTAGCATGAGGTACGTGTGTACTGATGCAGCCGTGCTGAAATTTTTACATTAAATACAACCGCAACGCTACCAGATTTAGTACATTCATTAAACATGACCTAGTAAGTATTGTTTTTTGTTGACACTTTGTAATTTCTTTTTTTGTAAATGTGGATTTGTACATTTACTGTGTATCACAGCAATAAGAAGACGTTTTTTAATGTTTTGGTTTTTGTTCACTTTCAGAGGAGGCGAATAGTTGTGGTGCTTTCACACCTTCTGCCCCCTGTCGGTGCAAGACAATATAGCGTCAAAGATACAATAACACACCTTCTAGATTTTGTGCCGGAAGGTGTTTATCCTTTGACAAATATAATTTTAAACAGAAATTACATTGAATTCCTGATCATTTCACCAACAAATTTGTTTTTTTTATTTCTTAATTTTTGTTTCTAAGACTGGAACAAAAATAGCATCCCTTTGCAATAATTCCTCTATTTCATCAACAAACCATCAGCCCCAGCTCATCTGCATCAGTAATCTGCGGTCGTCAAAGCAGTATGTCATCATTGCGAAAAATGACAAAGTCACCATCCCCTTAGACGATGGACTCACATGTGCTGTGGACAAGCTTTTTAAGCTGTATTGGGTGTATAACTTGTCTTATCCATCCCAACTCGGACCTGTCTTTATATTTTTTGAGTACATCTATGATCTTCCATTCTCCACACAAAGAAAAGCAAGGGTGACTGAACTGATTGGACAACTTAAAGCTTGTAAATGAAATGTATTGTTGTCCAAAATGTAAGAACCTGTATTTGGTGAAGTTGTTCATTTTCTGGCACATAATGACTCCATTTTTATTTTTGTTCAAATACTAAATGTAATATCATTTTTATGCATATGCAGTACAAAAAAATAGTGATTATGAATTGATCACGCTTGGAGAAATTAATGATTTCCATCCTTTAGATGTTATGAGGAGTTTTGTTAACAGAAAGCTGTTTGTGGCACCAAGATACAAAATATCGTATTTTGATTCATGACTGTTCGGTATTGAAAATGGAGGTTTAAATTTGAGTGCGATTGAAAATCTCACGAATGTTTAAAGGGACAGGAATTTATTTTCATTTCTCTTTCATGAAGTTTGTCATTATTTTCATCCATGTTCTCTTTTGTACATGTTATTGTATTTAACATTAGAAAAAGTGCTATTTTGTTAGCTTGGTGATTTCAATTTCAATTTCAATTTTTTAATATTTGACCTATAAATTGTAGCTGTGTCAACTTTGTTATTTGCATGATTGTAATAAAAGAATCTCTAATATCCACAATTTGAAATGTCAATTTTTATAAGCTCTAATCTATGAAAATACATTCTACACATTTGTGTTTCAAAATAACACATCTTGACACATATTTTGTGTTGATTTAAGTGACACAATACTTGTGTTAAAATGACAGACACAAAAATTGTGTTACAAATAACACATCATGTGTTGTCCTTGAGCTGATGCGGCACATGTTAAAATTTAACACATCATGTGTTGTTTTTAACACATCTGTTCTAAGAGAGTACTACTTGTTTGTTCCATACATCTTACTTCTTTGTTTTTTTGTTTGTGTGTTTGTTTTTTTTTGGGTCCCCATTAGCCATTGCTGTAACAATGGCTACTCTTCCTGGGGTCCATAATTAAAACTATTCTTATTGTAGTACAATTAGAATAAAGGATAAAAAAAATGACATGTTTTAACAAAAAAGGTTGCTATGGTTATTATTATTATTATGCACATGATCTCAATACCGATTTACCTAAAAGAATCAAACAAAAACTTTTATGCAAATAAGCTTCCAAGGATCACGTGACTCGCCAAAAGGCGTGTCCTGCAGCAAGTTGCATGATTTGGGAAGGTGTCATAACCTTTTGTTATGCAGTTATGGCCTCCGACCTGTGTGACAGGTGCTCCCGGTTGCTCCAAGACTTTGCTGCACGTCTGAGGAGAGTTTGGGAGGAGTTCAAGTACAAACTGGAGGAAGTTTTTGGAGAACTTCTCCAGTGTACCTGCTGTGGGAATGCTGAGCGGAGGATGGCTCAAGATTTATCGTCATTGCAGCTCATGTGTGGTAGGATACACAACTGTTGTGAAAAAGAAGCGCATAGATGTGCTTTGTTTAAGACATTGTATGACCATCACCATGGTGATTAAATTTTAATTTCACCTACTTTCTGTCATTTGGTCCTTTCAATATATTGACAATATATTGTAGCTGAATTTAAAATGTACATTTGTAAATTGGGATGTTATTGGAAAGTTTATTTCAACAATTAATTAAAAAAAGATGAACTCATGGGTTCAGGTGGTGCTGTATTTGAAGCACTTATTTCTGTTTGTTTCCTTTCCGCCAGTTAAAATCCAACATTTATTTTCTTAGAAAATAATATCACATAAATAATGAAGGTAGGCCACAAAAGCTCGCTGCCAAATAAGCAAGTTGGTCAGAGAGCTGCAATAATGGAAAGTTGAGTGGAAGGAAAAATGATATGACTTCTGGATTTTTATTAGCTATTAGCCTTTGTTAATAAAATTAACAGAAATAAACACTTTAAATGTCACTCATAAGGACTATAATGTGATTATTTTAACCTTAGTATGAGAAATTCCCTTTTAAATAAAAAAATTATTTTATTAGCTTGGTGAATTTGTACTCATCACTCTTTTCCTTTTCTCAGATGATGAAACTCACGTTTTCAATCAAAGAAGCCTCCAAGCACTGAACCGACTAGCAGCCTCTCAAAATGCAGATCTGCAAATGTCTGCAGCCATTTATTACCTGCACATCAGTCACCACTGTGAGTAAAGACTTTAATTTCATTTAACAATTTTCAGACGGTACGGACAAGGGGTAGTTAAAATGTGACCGTTGTTTGCCGTATTCCCACTCGGGAGATAAGTACCCTAACGGAAAAGACCAGTATGCAAATGTTCAACTGTATTTTTGATATAGCTCATCCAGCTTAAATATTCACATGCCCATCTCTTTATGTTGAAGGAAAAATGATGTCCTCTTTAAAAGCTTTCCATGTTCTCAGTTATAGTGAATAATGCCTTCTGAGGCATATGGAAAAGATCTTGCTAAGATGTCATAATTTTTTTTTTTTTTTTTTGCAATTTCTGATTCAAAGTGAGTTTATGTGAGGTTTTAATACAACTTCTTTGTATTTGTTTTGAAATGAACTATAGTATTTTGATGATCGCAGACAGCTCTAACATGCTTTTGTTATCAGGTAGGGATCAGATAACTTAATATTGTCCTGATATTAAATCTCCACGTCAGTTCTGAGAAGTGAAAGAAATTGTTCTTACATCTTTCTCTTCCTGGCTGGGATTGTTTGTTGCAGTGAAATCTCCCTTACCAGATGCCTTTGTGGAAACAATCACGGCTCTTCTTTTGTCCCCTGACCTGGATGTGCAGAAGACTACTTCCTTTGCCCTGGTTAATCTACTAGTAAAGAAAAATGGTAACACTTGTTTTTTTGCTATCTAGGTAGCTTAAAAAGTTACTGTATTTTCCGGATTATGGCGCGCACCATACTATAAGCCGCAACTACATTTTTTTAATTTTTTGTTAAACAAAACAAAACAAAACAAAACAAAAAAAAAACTGGAAACGTACATATAAGCCGCTGGTATGTCCGCCGCTCTCAGTTTTCCATAAAGACGCAGCAGAGGGCTGGGTTATTAATCTGTCTCCATCTTAATCCGTGCCTGCTGCTAGCATGTGCTTGTTCTAAATGGATAATTAGCGCTTTCTTCTTTGATTTCCAATGTTGACTTCCAATGATTCACTTCCTACTAAAGAGCCCCCTGGTGGTGGAAGAAAAATCCACAACAAAGCCGCACAGGGCTACAAGCCGCATGGTTCAAAACGTGGGGAAAACGTAGCGGCATAAAGTCCGAAAAACACGGTATTTTTAAAGCACTGATGAATGAATAAACATGATTTCAGTTTGTAAAGAGTTGGTGATCGAGACGGGGATGTTGGTGCCGCTGTTGGAGTTGTTCCAGTCGGGGGATCCAATGGCTCAGTGTCACTCTTGTGCCTGCATAGCCATGCTGGCGTCCTCAGGTTTGCGCAAACCTTTTTGTTGTTCTTTTTGTTGTTATTGTTTTATGTTCTAAAACTCTTATTTGTGTAGCGCAAATGTGCGTCAGTAGATCTTATAAGAATCCTGCACGTCGTCACACAAACTTTACATCATACTGTATCAAAAAGTTGAAGTATTTTCATCATAATTTCTTTATTTTTATTCAGAATCGAACAGAGATTCTATTTTGGTGGACGGAGTGATGCCTCTGTTGGCTTTGGCAAAATCCTACGATCCAGCGGTACAGCTGAATGCAGCGTGGGCCCTGTTGCATCTCTCCCACTCAGGTTGTATGTTTGTCTCTCCATTTTGTCAATGTTCACGTACCCCGCAGAATTATTCATTTGCATTTTGTCACTACACAAAATTCAAAATGGATTTGAATGGGGTTGCAGGTAAAATCTGCAAATTCCCCTGTATGAAACACAGTAGTAGCAGAATCATGCTGTGGGGATGTTTTCTATCAGAATTGGAGTTGATTAGAAGACGGACACCCTAATTCTACCTTACTGGTGTTAGCCAAAGCCCCAGCCGTCGGGTCTTTCAGCAGTCGTAATTTTTATTTATTTATTTTCAGATAGGTCGACAAGGACTCTGTGTCAAGCAGGGGGCATCCCTGTCTTGGTCCTCCTGCTGCAGTCCTCCAGGTCAGAAGTTCAGTTTTACAGCTGCACAGCTCTTTGCAACATTGCCGCCGCTCCAGAGCATCACCCAAAGTTGCTCAGCATTGGGGGTCATTATTTGTCCAAGTCGCTTCTGACGCTGATGTCTTCTTCTGTAGAAAAGGTAACCGAGATCTCGGTGGGGGGCGGGAAACAAATGGTGACTTTTCCATATGTTGTGAATTTATTGCTTTTTTTTTTTTTTCTTTTCTTATCAGAATGCAGCCCAAGCATGCAGATGCCTTCAAACTCTTTCAAAGAATGGTAACATGCATTTGTACATGGCATTATTTTAAAATAAAGCATCTAATTCTGCTTCTCGTTTTTATCCCCAGTTCGGGTCCAGGAACACCTCATGGAGCTTAACTGTGTGTTGCCTCTGAAGTCCCTGCTCAAAAGTTCAAACACTGCATGGATGCAGTCAGCTTTAACGCTGCTGTGCACACTGACTGCACACCCACCAAACCGTGTATGGCCCCCACAACACTAACATATAATAGTTATGATAGAGTACTGTATGTTAGAACTCTATCATATTTTGTAACCTGAGTTTTTTCGAAATCGCCTAATGCCACAAAACTGGTTAACACCACAAAATCATTTTTTCTCTAATTTTTTTTTTTTTTTTTTTTTTTTTTTACATTTTGTCACATTACGACCACAAACTTCAGTGTATTATATAGGGATTCTACATGATGCACCGACACAATTGAAGTGAATGAAAATGAATCAAATCCTTTGTCAGTTTTTTAATTTGTAAAAAATTTCGTTTATTAATTTTACTTCATGGTTTAGGAGCCACTTTGTGTTGGTCTGTTGCCTAAAATCCCAATAAAACACGATAAAATCCATGGTCTCAATTTGACAGAACGTAGAAAAGTTTGTTTTTGAGAGCAAGATGTTCGACTTTCCTGTAATCTCATTTTTTTTTATTTTTTTTTATTTTTTTTAGGATCTCTTCATGAGTGAAGGACTGCTGAGGGAAGTCGGTCGGCTGCTCCATCGTCCCAGCTCAAACTCTGCTCTGATCTCACAAAGTTGTCAGCTCATCACTGGCCTCTGCAGCGCCTGCATGGACGAGCAGGTACGCCTCCAGCTTACCTTTTGTTAGTCTGTTTACGCCCCGGCGCCCTAATCTCTTCAGGTTACACTGAATCCAGTTAATGTTATCCAGGCTGTGAAGGAGAGCCTGTGCTTATCAGGGCTGCTCCGAGGACTTGAGTCTCCTTCCCTGTTAGATGAGACGTTGCTGCATGTGACTTTGTGTTTGCGTCACCTGATGAACTGGGGTAATGTTGTTGTTTTGTTGTTTTTTTTTTTTTTTAAAGAAACTGTCACTTATATCCTTTTTGTCTTCACAGAATTTTTCAAATTTCTCTGTTTCAGAGGGGCTGAGGACTACTTTGTCCACTTCAGTATCACCAGAGCAGGTTTGGAGGCTGGTGCAGCTTTCCGGACAGACAAGAAATCCTGAGCTGTCCTACAACTCTGCAGCCGTCGTGCACGCATTTGAACCGACAGGTAAAGTAGCACACGCGTCCATATCCGTACATGTTTCTATATCAAACGTTGCTTTTTTCCTTCCTCTCCTCCACAGAAAGCTTCCTCCAGCTGCTGAGGCCTCACTACAGCGCAGTGGCTAAATATTTGTTGCTGTTCCTCAAAAGGAAAGATGTTAAATTCCAGCAGCTTGGCATTGCTGCTGTAGATAAACTCAAGAATGGTTTGTGTGTTTTTCTGTTGTTGTTTGTTTTATTCTTCCATGAAGAAATTAAACAAATTTCAGTTCCTTGAAAAAGCATTTAACTTTTTTCCATACGTTTTTCATGTTGTAACCGATAAAGTCAGAGCATCTCAGTAGTTTTTTAAGTGATGGATCTACTTGGATGGATATTCTTACATACAAGTGTCTCAAAACTGTCCCAGGGTTCATTTTTAATCCCTTTTAACATGACACCCCTGAATAAAATAATTAATTCTCTAAAGGCTTTTGTCAGAGTTGACAGTATGACAAATTCAATGGGCACAAATACCTTTTTTAAAGAGACTAATTTTTGTGTTTTATATGAAATTAAAAGAATGACTTTTTGAATAAGCAGCATTTTATAACCTGTTTGCTCTGATCCTCTGCAGATGGACACTTTTCAACGGCAGTGACCGACGGCGAGCTGGAGGCTTGGCTGTCGCAGGGACATACAGGGACGGAGGAGACGAGATGGCTGCTGAGAACCACTCGGCCTCCGTCGCCATCTTCTGGTTAACCCTCGACTTGCTCAGTATTTTTACGAAAAGTCCAAGATGTTTACTTTGATGCAAAACTTTGATTTTTGACTTTTTTACATGCCGCTCTTTTCTAAAATTGTTTTTATATTTGTATTTTTGTTTTTACATATCTGTCTTTAAAAAGAAGAAAAGGACAGAGGTGTGGCATCAGCTTTAATATATTTGAACATTTTTATAAAGCTAACTTGTGATAGTCTAGAACAGTACTTAAGGTATAGGATCAAGTTTAAGTCACGATTTTTATGCATTTTTATGCTTAAAAAGCATTTAACCTACAGCTCTCTTGATTTGAAGCAACTGTGAAAGCAAACAAATAAACAAAAAAAAAAGGCATTGTTGCATTCTCGCCTCTAAGACAGCACACACACAAAATTAAAGCCTATCTTTGGAAACCGTATCGTTGTAGCAGCTTCTTACATACGATTGCTATAATTTTACAAAAGTTCAAGATTAAAATTGCAACGCGGCGACATTGAGCTCTCAACTGCATCTCAATTTATTCGAGTTCCACTGAGGGGAAAAAAAAAAGGAAAAGTGCTGAGTCAGCAGTAAGTAATATCAGGTTTAAGCTAAAAAAAAAAAAACCTGGACAAGTTCTTATTGATAAAATAGCTATTATTCAAACCGACTAACTGTATCCACTAGCAAACTAACAGCAGAAAGTAGATGTGCACTTCATTTTGAGCTTGTTTGATTCGAATCCTGCTGGAAAGAGATGATTACGCAAGAACTTTGCTGAGTGTTTTTTTTGTTGTTTTTGTGCCACTGGCTACCGCAAGACGTCCTCGCTGAGAGGCGAAGCTGTAATGTTGCGTGCTCCTTTCGAGGTGCTGAAAGGAAGCAGGATGGCTGTGTGCTGTAGCTGTGCGGGACAAATCGTCTGGATGGCAGACACCTCACGATGACCTCAGATGACTTCTAAAAAAAAAAAAAGGTAAGGAGAGAGAAAACACATCCAGAAAATAATGTTTATTTTCATTTGTAAAGATGAATCCTAACTCAGAAACGACAGACGATCAGCATCAGGTCCAAAGTTACTAAAACGAGGCGGTTTGACGTTACGTCCTCACCTGCTCTCTGTTTGGTCTGGATGTCCTCCAGGCCGGAGAGCGCCCTGAGGGATCTGCGCTCCTTGAAGGCCACCACCGGTACCACATCGTCCTCGTTGCCCAGCCCCAGCTGGGCAGCGGTTTTAGTCCCCACCAGCGTCTTGGCGGCATCCTCTATCGTCCCATTGTGGGGAGGCTGTGTGTTTTCCTTTGGTACGGTCCGCGCCGACACAGATTTCTGCGATTAAAAAGATATCAAAACGCTTTTAGTCAAGGCTGGGGACGGAAAAGCCTTTTCATGAGTCGACGTTAGATGTGTGTCATAAGAGGCCCGAGGCTGTGTACTGTTTATCAAAAAAAATAAATAAAAGAGCCGATCAGTAAATCTCACCGTATCTGGTGAATCTGTTCTTCTGGTTCTCCGCATGATCTCCTCAAGTCGCTGGAAAAGACAACGTTGCAACAAAAACACACAGCTTTTTTTTTATGTTATCAGTTAGTTGCCTTGCAAAAGAGAAAATCCTGCTTCCTGCACATGTTTTGTCATGTGGAGGAAGCACATGACAAAACATAAACGGTTGGGATTTTGTGTGATATAAGAAAATGAAGTAGTCAGTAATGGTGAAGCAGAAGCTAAAGGCCAGTCTGGCCTGCTAGCAAAGCGTCTGCAGAAACCACATGCAGGCTCATGCAGACGGACACTTTTCTTAAATTTTGACGAAAATGCAGACGAAATCATCCCAAAATACAATAAAATGAGGCAGAAAATGTTTTTTTTCCCCCCATATTTATCAATCAGGTTTCTCTATTTCTTAATTTTCTACTAACTGGCACCAATAATAACATCCAGCAAAAAAAAAAAAAAAAAAAAAAAAAAAAATTTTTGGCCCCAAAAGTTCCCAAAAAAATTTTGGGAAATGCTGGGTTGTGTCGTAGGTGTGCAATCTTGGATCCTTTTTTTAATGTCTGACTGATCCCTTTTCAACAACTATCAGTTTATTTAGTTAAATTCAATAAGGTGCAACATATTTACTCATAAATATTCCCCAGGTGGTTTCAACTTGACAGTTTTGGCCCTCAAGGCTAACATTTTGGACCTCGCTGCTCTGACCGGTTCTCTGCGTCTTTTGTATCCCCGCTGAAGAAAAGTCCTCAGCATGATGCTGCTGCCACCATCATGCGTCACTATGGAGACAGTGTGTTCAGGGTGATGTGCATTGTTTACTTTCACACCCACATGAAATGTTGCATAAAAGTTTTCTCATTGGACCAGAGCTCTTTCTTCTAGAGACATTAGAAGACAATGCGATGGTGATGTTATTGGTAAACGTTGTTGTCGCCGTCGATTGTGTTAAAATCCTGTTTTCCCATTTAATCTGCTGTTTCTTATTTATTAAGACATTAAAGCATCCTGGGCTCAGGTGTCTGTCCCAGGTGTGGACATCTACTGCAGTGAGACTGATGAACAGACTCGACATGTTATTGACACAGGAAGCGGATTTTCCCGACACTTCCAAAGGTAACATACAAAAAGGAAGCGATTGTAAAAGCGTGTTTTACAATGTATTATTCACCATTAAGCACTACTTTGCGATGGCCTGTAACTGAAAATCTTAGCAAAGCAACTATATTTGCAGTCGCAACATGGCAAAAAAAATGTGTAAAAGTTCAAAGGGCATGAATGTTTTCGTAAGTCTCCAAACCTTTTTCCTCGCTTGGCGCTCTGCCTCCTCTTTCTGTGCAGCAATCTCTCGCTCTTGCTTCATTTGTTCGGCTCGTGCTCGCTCTTTAGCCAGTTCCTCCTCTCTCTGTGCAAACAACATCCGGACACGGATAAACAAATGAAAACGATGCCTGCTGTACAGAGAGCTTTTCTCCTGGGATAGTAAGATGATGTGTTTACTGGGCACCTGCTTCTGCAAAAGTTCACCCTCCCTCATTGCCTGAGCTCTCTCCTCTTCGGCTCTCCTCTGCTCCTCCTCCTCCCTTCTCCTCTTCTCCTCTACGAGACGCCTGGCCTCGGCCTCCTGTCGAGCCTGCTTCTCCGCCCTCCTGCGCTGCTGCTCCTCACGACTCCGCCTAAACAGAAGTTGCAGTGAAATTGTGGAAATGGTTACTTTCACTCAGTTCTAATCTCCCTTCATTGCTCCGTCTGGGATTTCTCCCATTCACTTGGATTCCTCCGGTAAAATTTCAACTGAGCCAATCAGCAAATAGGAGAAAAGTTGTGAATGACGAGGCTGATTTCCAGCGCTGCTTCAGAATTGGTGTCTGCTTGTAGTTTTAGCCATGGCAGCAGAGGAAGTTAACATTTCCTCCAGCTGGTGTTGACCACACTTCCAAATATTGAATTAACATTAACGGCCACTTTGTTCAGCTGGATACTTCTTTCTCTCCAGTGGAGGATAATTGTTTACAGCTCAGGCAATTTCCGGTAAGTTCATAGCATCAAACTGGTGCATTACGTGCTTTGTGGCCAAACGTTAGCAATCGGGTAAAATTTAAAACTTCAGCAGAGTCCACGCCTCCAGGAAGAAATCATTTCTCAATAGCCGAGGGTCCAGACCCTCTGCATGAAGTGCAGCATAGAACAATTGGCTCGTTTTTATGACGGTGTATTAGGGTCATTTTATATGGAACAAAGAAAGAGGAGTAAATTTCTGCCAAAAAACTAAACAAAATTTTGAGATCAATCAGAAATAAGGTATTTCTGAATACTTTTTTTTCCTTTTCCTAGCAAATTTCCAAGCTCTTTTTTCTAGAAAGACCTTGGAAATTTTTTGGCAGAAATGTACTAATCCTTTTATTTTTCCTGTGTAAAATGGCCGTAATACACTGTCGTAGGTTTTTACCAGGCTAGTATTTTCACCTATATTTTTTATAAATTTTCATTTATTTTTACCTTTCGGCTTCCTCTCGTTGCAGGCGCTCCTGCTCCTCTTTCTCCCGCTGCATGCGGGCCTCTCTCCTCTTTTCAGCCAGAAGTCGCAAGGCCTCCTTCGGGTCAGTGGTGCCCGCCGAAGGACGGAGCATGACCTCTGCAGGCTGCGGATCTGAAAGAGGAGAGGCTTTATAAGGACATAAAGAGAGAACAAAACAATCATTTTCACTTATAAATATTTCTTCCACTTACTTCCATCTGCTGCTGTCCCGGTGGAGCCGTCTACCTGTGCGTCAGGCAGCTTTAGACGTGGCGTCTCTGTGAGATTTTCTCGTCTCTGTGTCTGCTGTTGACCTTTGTCTGGTGCGCTGACAGGCCGTGTGTTACCAGCAGAGAAGTAAACGGCAGCGTCCTCCTCAGGAACAGCTGGGAGCTCGAGGTGCAGCGGGGTGGAGTGTCTACTGATCGATCTTCTGGGGCTCCTGCAGGATGGAACCGCAGAGGGAAGCATCAGCTTGCGTCTGCAACGCCAACCCGAGGCGGAGACGTTTACCTACCGCTCCGGTGACGGGGAGGCTGTTCTGCTCTGAGTGCAGGTGGGCGACTTCATGCCGTTAACAGCAGCAGCAGACGATCTTTTGGCAGAGCCGCTGTTTGGGGTCTTCTTCATGGCTTCCTGTCTTACTTTTTGAATCTGGATCGAACCGGAGACGTTAACAGAACTTCCACTACCTAAACTATTCCACATTTTGTTACATTTCCCCTACAAACTTCAGTGTGTCACATTGAACATTTATGTTATGAGTCAACAAATAGTGAAAGTGAAAAATCACGTTTTTTTTTTTTTTAACAAAACATCTGAAAAGTGTGGCGTGTAGCTGTAATCCGGACACCAAATCAATAAGTTGTACAACAGCCTTTTTTCTGCGTTTCTATGGACTTTGCACATCTAGACTAAATATTTACCCATTTTCCTGAATGTTGGATTTCAAGTTCAGCAGCAAATTCTCAGTTGGATGTAGGTCTGAACTTTGGCTAGGCCATTTTAAATCCAAGATATGCTTGGATTTATTCAAATTTAGCAGCATGTTTAATGTTTTTGTCTGCTGAAAGACAAAGTCTTTAACAACTTTTCCTCCACTGTCTCACCATCATCATGCTGCCACCACCAACAAGACTATTTTTGTTTTATTTATTTATTTATTTATTTATTTGCATTGGATTTTATTTCGGGACACCAGAATAAATAAGATTGAATACAATGCGTGTCACATCTTTCAAAATGTTATTTCTGACAGATTTTTGTCAACCATGAAACAAACATCCTCTGAAAACTAGGATAGGAGAGAAATTTATGACTGGTCAGCAGTGGGTGGATTTTACCTGTGCGGGGCTGATGTGTCGTTGCTGGCTGTTGGCGGAGGAAGGTGAGGCAGGCGACCTGCGGTGGACTGACACTGACTGATGTCGGAGTTTGGGAGTGATAATGGCGGAGGATGGGATGGCAGCCGTCGGCTGGCATGAAGCTGCACGACGACAAACATGGACAACTTGAGCTAGTGTAAAAATAATGAAAATGAAAAAACGCAGTTTTTGTTGAAACGTGACGATATGAGCGGGAGGGGGAAAAATGATATATGAAGGAACACAGAGCGGCGGTGGTCAGCTCAGAAAAATTTGCCAAGTATTAAAGCAGAAAAGACCTTCTGGTGAACGGGAGAGTACCTTCTTCTCCGGACCTACAAGCAGCACTCTTGCTTCTAGCCAGATAAGAGCAAGTAGGGGTGAGGAGGCGACTGACCAGATTCCTCTCCCACGTCGACAGAGGCAGGCGACGTGGAGCTGGCGCATTGATCAGCGTAAAGTTTGTAAGTAGGGCAAAAGCAACAGATAAGACATTCCAAGAGCCTGCAGCCTTACAAGATACTTTTGTTTTGTTTGGTTTTGTTTTGTTTTTTAAGAGAAACGGCGTTAGCAAAAGGAGAAAGGAAAAAGTACGTGCATCTCTTAGTACCGTTTTTAACGAGCTTCCTGCCTCTGGGGCTTTGACTGAGCTGCTGCTGAGCCTTCTGGCTCCTCTCTATTGTCCTGCGCACGGCAGTTTCATGTCGCTCCTTAACTCAGAAAATTAAAATGAAAACATGTTGTTGTTATTATTATTATTATTATTATTATTATTATTATTATTATTATTATTAAGTACGAATAAAAAAAGTCTACTGCTAAAGCTCACCTTTTCCTCTCTCAGCCTCTGCTTGCGTTTCTCCTCCACGGCTGCTCGCCTCCTCTCCTCTTTAAGCCTTTGCTCCAGGAGTTTCTTCCTCCGCTCCTGTAGTTGTTGTTCATAGTAGCGCCTGGCTCGCTGCTCCCGCTCCAGTCGGCTCAGCTCCCGGGAGACTGAGAGGGAATTAAGCAGAAGTAGTTTCGCTCGGTATTTTTTAAAAATTATTTTTATTTTTTAATGGATGCGCTGCCGCGGTGATGCACACGCACCGAGTAACTTCTGCTGCTCCTCTCGTCTTTCTCGCGCTGCTTTCAACCTTTCATCGACATTCAGCCCGTTACCAGCTGTAAAATAAAATGGATTGTTAGACGATGATAAATCATGAAAACACAGCTGAAAACGATGTGAAACTCCAAATTAATATATTATCAGTTTGGGGGAAAAAGAGTTCAACAGTGTTGATTCAAGGTCAAGATCAATTTGCTTTGGCAGCCCAATTTGCCAATAAAGTCACCACAGAGTTCAAGTTAGACGTGTTTTATAATAAACAAGCGGTCCATCTGTGAATTATGCAGACTGACTCTTCAACAAGTTAGTTAAATTAATTGTATTTCGGATAAAGTGTCTTTGGAGATTGGATTATTTCTCGTACTTGCTCTTGTCCGTTTCGAAATGTTTCACTTGTTGAAATTTGTCTTCAAAATGTTACATTGTGCTTTAAATATGAACCCTGTTGAGACACAAGCCTCAGAAATAGCAGTGTTGAATTATTATTATTTGAAAATTTTCACTTATCAAAACTTTGATTGGATTTGTTAGTTGAATTAAATGTTTAGAAAGCACTAAATTAATTCATATTTCATACCCGTCATGTACTTTAATAATTGAAAATCAGCTTACTTTATCGTTTATTTCAAGAATTGTGGAAATAATCATTCACATGAATAAATCTCACATATTAAATCCAGTTCATATTTTCTAAAAACGTCTACTTTAGATATTATTCACTGCGGTTATGCAACATTTCTTTCCAAATGATCATAAGCAAACTTTCCTTTTGTCATTGGTTGCCAAAGTAGGTACAAAATGTCCCAAAGGTGGATATAAATAAGCTTCAAGTTGCCTCGTTTGTCCCAGACAAAATTATAAAGTTGCATAAGGGCAAAGGGTCAAAACGGGTACCAAGCTGGCAAGTGTACATAGGTTTAGTTTGCTTATGCCTTGGGCTGGCTTTGCAGTGACTAACCTGCAGAAACTTGCAGGGTAGCGTTGCAGATTTGGATGGACTTGTTGGCAGAGCAGGTTGTTTTCTTCGTCTGTGGAGGACTCGGTTTGAAATAAGAGCCATTCTCTGTAAATAAACGAAAGGGGGAAAAACTCAGCTTGAAAAAAAAAATTGTTGTTTTACATATTCTAATACAGATTTTTTTCTTTTCTTTTCTTTTACCCTCCTATCCTGGTTATCCCTCGTCTGTAAACAGAAATGTCCCAGTTGAGCATGTGATATGTCATGGATCTAGAAGCCTGAAAACATCAGCTTGAACAAGCTGTTAAAACATGCTGGCCTCAGGCTGAGCACTAAATAAAAGAAACCATTATTAAAGAGGCAGCGTTTAAAAGGCGAGCACCTGACAAGTACCCATTAACGCAACAAACACGAGCAAAATGGAAATACAAAACAGAATCAAGAAAAAATGCACATTTCCACATTTCTGTGAGAGTTAGACATCCAGGTGTTCTTATTCAGGTCAGATCATTCAACTGTGATTCTCTGCTTGTGGTTTAGTCGTTTTTTGTTTGGATTTAGATCATGTTCTCGATCTAAATCTACCAAAATGCTATTTTAGGATAAAAGACACTGACCTCGTGTTCCTTCGGGTCTGTGTCCGACCCTCTGGCTGTCGATGGTGGATGTAGAAAGTGGTCCCTGCGATGAAGGGACGACACTCTGCTTCTTCTGTACAGCCATGCTAGGTATTGAGCCTGGCATAGCAGAGCTCTCTCTCATGTCCCCTCCACTCCCTCTCCCTCCTTTCTGTCCTCCTCCTCTTCCTCTGAATTTCTATTTCAAGATGCCTTCAGGTCCTAGCATGAGTGCGCAGAGAGGGAAGCTGCCTCCTGCATCAGCTGCTTGTCCATCTGTGTCTCACAAAGGAATGGAGAGCAAGAAAACAAAAACATCCAGTCAGAACCCTGCCCAATGATTTTGGGGATTTTTATTTTATTTATTTTTTTGTATCTTATCTTCACATTTTCCTCCAGGTTGATAGAAAAGTCTGCAAAGACCCTGAGCCTCGGTGATTCTCGTCTATTAATGGGTTACTCCCCCTTTAAAGATTTCACCCTTGTGAGCTGCTCTGCTTTACTTCCACATTATTCCATCGCTGTGTCACTTTAATTCCCCCACCGCTCTCCCTGCATGCTGGAAACAGGCAGAGAGGTCCAGCATTTCCTGGACACCGGAAAGGAAAAAAGGAAATGATGTGTAGAACAGGGTCTACATGAATAATTACCATGGCAACAGTGGTATAATGTTCAGTGACACGCAATATTTGGACATTAACTCGCTGTGTTGGTTACACAGTGGATGAGGCAAAAGTGCTTTTCCTTTTTACCCATAATTCCTCGTTCTTAGAGTGAGAGTATATGACCACCAGATGGAGATCTAGATACTCATTGGTGGACTGAATGAGCTGCATTTCCTTACAGAATATCTATTAAACAAATGTTCCTAAAAGCCAAATTAGCCTGAAAAAAAACAACAAAAAAAACATTATTTTTCTTCTTATACAATTTGAATGAAGAAAGTGGTCTGTCAGCAGGGCTGGTCTTAGATTGTGTAGGGCCCCAAGCAAAATGTAATTTGGGACCCCTTCCAGCTAAGCTCACCAGGATATTTACAGGAAAGAGGGAGACATGACTGAAGCACTTCCATGCTGCTGTTTTAATATTTATGAATAAATTAGTTATAATCCATATCATCTGTCATAAATCCTTCTTTAATCCATTTTTCTGCGTAACAGTCTCTGATTTATGCAGTTTTTTTTCAAGTCTAATTTAAGATTGACATATAAATGATCCTATTTTTATTAGATCCGTGGAAAGCATAGTTTAGAAAAGTTTTTTTTAAAAATCACTTGGAACTTGTGAATAATATTAACCCTATTAAGATCTCCTTATTACTAGTAAATTGGTAGCAGATTAGGATAAAAATGCTAACGCTGTTACAATATTAAATATGGACACAAAGGCTATTTATTATAGTTTCCAAACTTAGACACAAGCAACAGAAATGGGGAAAAAATGCGTTAAAACAGCTCAGTTAATATTCAATTGATTGAGGTTTCCTTTAGCATGTAGATTAACCCAGTGAAGCCTGACCAAGTCCTACTTCCAGATGAAAGCTCACATGAAAAACTGTGAAGTTAGTGGTGTAATCTGTTTATCTGCATTTCTCACAGGTTGTCTCCCCACTGACACAAACTAACCGTCCAGTCTCTTTGTGTCAGCCTGTTCCTTTTTTCAAATACATCACACACTGCTAATAATAGATAGTCTGGTCATTAAGCACAACAATTAACAAATCTCACTGGATTTCCAACTTGAAACTAGAACACGAAAGGCTGCGTTAGACTCGTCTTGTAAGCCACGTTTAGCTCTGGGAATGATATCAGACATGCGTTCTGGCTGAAAGACACAAAACGAGGGCTGTGTATTACAAATAGATGGTTTTTCAGTATTAAATATGCCACTAGTTGGATGAGAATTAAGCTGTCAGGTTTGCTAATGAACATTCAACTTTCATATTTATTTCTCATGTCATACACTTTCTTTTTAAAGAGAAACTTTAAAAAGAGTTTGTCCAAAATCAAAAACCAAAATGTTTGATTTTGGTGTTGTGCAATAAAAGTGGTAAGTTAAGCTGAGTTATGTTGTTTTACCCAAGAATATTTCTTTCATTAGTTTCCCCTAAATCTAACGATGCATGTGCTGAGTGTGAGTGTGATGTAGACGTAATTTATGAAACAAAGTGTTATGAATTAAGTATTTTATATAGGTGGGTTATCTATTGATGAGGGGGAAAAAAGCTTCGCTAAGACACTTAAATGTATTAAACTACAACCAATAATGGAATGCTTATCAAAATTATCTTGATTTTTTAGGAACATTTTACTAGTTTTTATTAATTGTATCAGGTTTGAACTAATCTTTACAATTCAAAACTCACTATAGGAAACATATTTTCCTAAATAAATGGCAGTAGAAAACATCTGCACAATCAACAATAGTAATGGCCTACAATTCCTCCATTGAGAATAAACTTCCCTAATAAACATATTATCTCAGATTGATCAATTCCAAGTACACCGGATGAATAATGATGCCATTTCACATTGGTGTGCACAAGTTTTATAGATCCAGAGGATTCCCTCAATCACTTTCAAAACCTGTGCTTTGTAGAGTAATGGTCATCTTTCCTCTTAAGTTAAATGGCTTGTCTTCCATGGTAATAAAAAAAAAATAGAAACTGGTTTATAATTAGGGCAGAAAATGTTTCTGAAATTATGCTTAACCCCTTTATAACCACATCTAGCGTACAGCAACTGCCCCAGAGAGAAGAGGAACCTCAGTTCGCTAGCAGCTAGCAGACTTGCTAGCTTATTTGACATTAGCATTAGTGCTGTTGCTAAAAGCTGAAAACTCTCGCTTCAAGTGATACTTTTTAAAGATATAAATTATCCAAAGCAAAAAAGAAAAGAACTCAGAATATTCAACATTAGGTCAAAAACTTTAAATCAAATGACTTATTATTATCGGTGTCATTAGTTAGCCACTTGTTAAATGTGCGACTTTAGTGGACATTTTTTCCTCATTTTTTGGAGTCCCGCCAGCCTGTGCTGCCCTGAACAACGAGCCATATCACCAAAAATGCTACAGTGTAAGCCATTTTAATTGTTTACATTTAAGAGAGTTTCTTATTACAATATGGTAATGCTATATGTTTATATTTCCAGAAGTTTGTGGGGTTATTTAAGTTCAGAGCCAAGTGGGCCCTATGTGCAGTAATACTCCCCTCTGACACGTCGACAACAATGCCCTTCACTTGCCAGAGCCATGCTCTAAAATGTGCAATACGGACACACTACACCACAGTCAGGTGGTGTGCCCGCAGAGTCACTGGAGCACAAATAAGATGTTGATCATCGGCCTTACAACCAATAGAAGAAAAGGACTGCGGACACAGGACCTACACGGGATAAGATTGCATGGTTCGTATCAAGTCATTCTGTGGTTCACCTTGGCCACTATTATTAAAGGTGTCAGTTTTAGGGCTTGGTTGCTTTCTCATGCATATTCATACGTTCTCATATGAAAATCTGGAAATGCGTTTTTCTTTCCCGCTCATTGAACGCAACAATTACGCACCCTCCACCTACTGGTTTTTAAAGGAGTTTTACGACAAGCTGTTTCCGTATAGTTTTTATTCTCTGTTAAACCAGAGACATTTGAGAGCTGGCCTCAGCCTGAGTGTTTAAACTTCAACGTGATGACACGACCCATCAAAGAATGAGGCAAGTATATTCCACTGCGAATCAACTGGTAACTTTGCACGGTTGCTGACATGGTTACCAGCAGAGGAACTGGGACATCGCCTTCACCCCACTGAGCTGCTATTGAATCATGTAATTAACAGCAGATGCCATCAACACAGCAGCTAAAGGTTGATGCAGGGCTCCAGCTGGAAAATTAATTTCCTATAATGCAGTTAATAATAATAATAATAATAATAATAATAATATTGAGCTGTACTTTCGTAAATGTGTCTAAGATGTTTCAGTTTTCTCTTCAGCCACCGATGACCTGCCATTATTTATTTATTTATTTATTTTCATTTCTTTTGTTGTGAACATCGATACCTTCTCATAAAGAGGTTGCCACATGCAACAGTGACCGGGCGGCATCAATAATTCACCGCCTTGTCTCATCGGACACCAGCAACTTTAGACTGTGATGTATGGCTTACTGAGCGGCCCGATGTGTAATTGATGAGACGATGAGCTGCTCCTGCAGAAGACGCAGTTGAGCAGAAGTCGCGCTCACTTTGACAAAGTCGTGCACGTTTCTTACGCATGCACCGCTTTCCAAAAAGCTTTTTGGAACGTTTTTAAGTTCCAAAAAACTTTTTTTACGTTTTGCTTCACAACGGAAAATTTGTCTTTACTTTGATTTTTGATTTTGACAATTCTCCTTGCATAGTAGCTCGAGCTCAGGCAGATGAAATGACAGCATTTTTAAAGCCTGCAGTTGATTCTTTGACTTTGACTGGACCATTCCAATATGTTTTTGATCTGTTGCAGTTCTGGCTGCATGCTTAGCATTCTGCAAGAAGGAGACATTCATCCATTTCTCCATCCAACTCTGCATGATGCTCCCACCACCGTGTCTTACCAAACAGGTGGTGTGCTGATGTGTGTAGTAGTAGTTTTCCACTGTGCTTAGTGTTTTACACATAGATCTTCTTCCAAAAACTGGCTTTCCATCTCTTCCCTTCAGTAATAGCCATCTTTTCACAAATCTTCCATAAAGATGCACGACTAATGGCAAAAGTCATAACAGCAGATTTTTCCACCCGAGCTGTTTATCTCTGCAGTTCCATCGAAGATACTGTAGGTCTCTTGGCTGCAACATTTAAAATCACTTCAAGGTATCATCTCCAGCTAGTTTGCCTGCATATACACTCCTGATCAAAATCTTAAGACTTGAAAGAAGAATTTCAAAGAATTGAAAGAATTTGCATTTTGCATTATTGGATCTTAAGAAGGTTCTAAGTTGAGCTTCACAATGTTAAAGGAAAAAAATCAGTGCAAGAGACAAGAACTTTTGAGCGGGGAATTTTCTGAAAACTGCATTTACACTCAAACATGATTTTTTCAGCTGATCAAAAGTTTAAGACCATAGTCTTTAAAAGCCAAAAGCTGTGCAAAAATCTGGATTCCATGTCATTTTCTGTCAAGTCTTTACACTGTCAAGACCTCCTGATGGCAAAAGCAAAAAAGCTCACTGACTTTGAACGTGGTAGGATTGTTGAGCTGCATAAGCAAGGCCTCTCACAACGTGCCATCGCTGCTGAGGTTGGACGCAGTAAGACAGTCATTTTGCATTTTTTAAATGATCCTGAGGGTTATGGAACAAAAAAGTCAAGTGGTAGACCCAAAAAAATTTCACCAGCTCTGAGCCACAGGATCCGATTGGCTGTCCGTCAAGACACGGGACGATCCTCTACCCAAATTAAGGCCATTACTGGTGCTGACTGCAGCCCAATAACCATCAGACGGCATCTGCGAGAGAAGGGCTTCAGAAACAAAAAACGTCTTCAAAGGCCACGTCTTCTTCAACGCCACAAAATTGCCCGTT